GCAGTAACAATTTTAATCAATAATGATTAGGTAACCAATATCGATATAATTGATATAATATTAGTTAAATATCAGGGATGTTATATGGTCTGGTCTAAACTGAAAAGCCACAGTTAGTCTAAGACTAGTCTGAAGCTAGAAACTTTGGGTTCACTCTTAGCATTAAGACCAGACCAGTCTGGACCAGACTAGACCAAGTAAGTCTTAAGACTATAGATTATTAAAAACTAGATCAAACTGGACAAAAAAAAAACTAGACTAAACCAGACTAGGCTGTTAATATCCCTATTAAATATAATATTTTAGAGCATATTTGCTAGAAATTAGTGAAAAAATTTAAAAAAGTTATCAGTTTGAACAAGTGTTAAATACTTAAGTGTTAGCACATCTTCAATAATTTGAGTTTTTAAACAATTTCAAAGTAAAAATTGCATTCAGATAGATATTTCTATCATATAGTTATAATAAATTACCTGGATAATGATAATTTAATAGTACTTTACCTGTAAGAAAACCATATTTACTAAACCTGAATGATAAAAAAAATCTTAAGACTTTAATAAAAGAAAAGCCTAACTGATATTTTTATCCTTTACACCATCTTATAGGCAAATTTGCCTGAAAACTTTATAATTAATCTGTGATCATGCTATTAAATTATATTGAAATGTAGTTTAAATTATATATGCCACTGAAATAGGTTTTCAAAAAACCCCTATTTCATCTTCATTAGAGCAATTTAAATTTTTTATATGCAAGAGCAAATCTAATTTAGGTAGTTATATTCCTTATAATTTCATCTTTTCAAAAAAAGTATTAAAAAATTTTGTCTTTTAAATAAAATAGGTTAAAAACAATTTCGTTTTTAAATTTTAATTTCGTATCTCGAAACCTAAAATAATTTCATCAGCATGTATAGTCTAAATTACAGTAGATTCCTAGTTAAATTGATAGTATAAGGGATAAGTTAGGGGAGCGCCATTTATCAGCTGATTTTGTAAGGTAGAGGGGGTTAACAAAAAATCAAGTTATATTATAATATAAATACAGTATATATACAGTATATGTACATAATATACATATTGTTTGAAACATAATACATATATTGATAAACCTATTAATTAATCGAATTTAAATACATAACATGCTGTTTTTTTAAACTTATGTATGAACATATGTATATACATATATGCTACATATTATACATGTGGTCAAAATGTTTCGACCATTTCGGCTACTTGGCAAATGGTCAAAAAAAAGGTATCAATATTTTGTAAATAAGATAGAAATTAGGCTTCATATATGTTAAATCAGATCTGCAAAACCTTATGCAAGTCCTTTTTGTATTTCGACAAGACCTTTTTGTATTTTGGCAGACTCTGAAAGTTTTGGCTATATATTAAGTACAGATTTTTAAAAATTCTAGAGTTTGCCGAAATACCAAAAGGTCTTGCCAAAAAATACAAAAAGAGCTTGTGGATCTGGCTTAACATATATGAAGCCTAATTTCTATCACATTTACAAATTATTGATAACTTTGCTTTGAACATTTGCCAAGTGGTCGAAATGTCTGAAACATTTCAACTACATGTATAGACAACGTATATCAATTTTACTTTTGTACTTTAAAGTTTTTAATCTAATAATCGGTACAGATAATCTTTACATTTTTATTAAACTTTCGCTATTGCTATTATTTTTATTTAAATTCTTTTTATCTTTTGTCTAATTTTTCTTCAGATTTTTTTTGTCTAGTTTTTTATATTTGGTTTCTTACATCTAGTTTCTTATGTCTAGCTTTTTCTTTCTTCTAGTTTTTTTTTCTTTTGCTCAATTTTTTTCATCTAGTTTTTTTTTTCTTTCAACTAGCTTCTTTCGTCTAGCTTCTTTTTTCCTGTTCTCTTCCATTCTTTTGATAAAATTTTCTTTTTCTCGTAGATTTGTGCTTCGCCGGGAATAAAGATCTGGATTTGGGACTGGTGGCTTTGATTTAAGATAAGTTGTTTTATTTTATTTTTAAAATTTTTTTTCTTATTTTCACCATTTTCTTTTCTTGTAGGTTAGTACTTGTCGAAAAACGTGAAATAGCACCTGAAATGAAGATCTTAGGTTGTGCTGATGTATAATAAAGGTATCGGTTTCATTCTTTTTTCAATGGGTTGTCTTTTTTTTTTTATTAACACTTTCTTCTTGTAGGTTTGTACTTTGCCGGGAAATGAGGAATGACACCTGAAACAAAGATCTTGGGCTGGGCTGGTATATGATGAATGCACTAGTTTCTTTTTTTTGGCAGTTTTTTTTTATTTCGCTAACACTTTTTTTCACTTGTAGGTTTGTACTTCGCACTAGAATGATCAGAAAACTGAAACTGGTGGTCTTGCTATCAGTTAAGTTCTGGTTTCTTCTTTCTTGTTTTTCATTTTGTTTTTTTCTTTCACTAGTTCTCTTTACTATATTTTTTTTTTTGTAGGTTCGTATTCGCTGGAAAAAACAAAATGACACTAGAAATGGAGATCAGGAAACTGAAACATATGGTCTTGCTATTAGATAAGTTCTTGTTTTTCTTTCTTGTTCGTTGTTTTTTTTTCACTGGTTCTCTTTACTAATTGTCGTGGCTGATGCTGGAAACGGCTGAAGCTAGAAATCAGGAACCCTGATTTAAAAATATAAACCCTGCCAAAATCTACTTATACTCTTTCATTATAAAAACTAACCCTAAATCCTAATTTAACCATGAAAAAAAAGCTAAAAAAATGCACCCCAAAAAATTTTGAAAATTTCATAATAAAATATTTAAAATTTCCAGCTTCAGCCGTTTCTAGCTTCAGCCGCAACACTAATTCTTTTTTCTTTTTTGTAGGTTTGTCTTTGCTGGAAAACGAAATGGCGCTAGGAATGAAAATCAGGAAACTGGAACCGGTAGTCTTGCTATTAAATAAGTTCTTATTTCTTGTTCTTTTTTTTCACTAGTTCTCTTTATTAATTCTTTTTTCATTCTTGTAGGTTTGTCTTTGCTGAGAAACGAAATGGTGCTAGAAATAGAGACCAGGAAACTGGAACTGGTAGTCTTGCTATAAGTTCTTATTTCTTTCTTGTTTGTTATTTTTTTTCCACCAGTTCTTTTTACTAATTTATTTATTTCTTGTAGATTTGTCTTCATTAAGAAAGTGAAATGACACTAGGAATGGAGAACGGAAAACTGGAACCTGAAAACTTGAGCTGTTAAAAAGATAAGTACTTCAATTTTTAATTTTTTTTCATTTTTGGATTGTCTTTTTAACTTGAACTGACTTTTTTTTTTATCTTCTTTAAGTTACACTTCAAATTGGCACCAGGAATCTGAATTGTTGACTAAGGTTTGAGTCATAAAGATAAGTATCATTTCTTTTTTTATTTTAGTTTTGTTAGTTTTCATTTTTCTAGTTTTTAACTTTTTTTTTTTTCTTTTCTAGGCATTTATATTTGGGATCTGAGATTATATTGTAGCCATTTCAGTAGTTAGAAGGTATGATATAACTGTTACAGCACGGCTTTGTGATCAGGTCATACAATTTTGCAAAGACAATAAACAACTTAAATCAAACAATTATTATTTTTAAGATCATTCTTATGCCGTAAAACCAGGTTGCAAAATACAAAATCAAATTCTTCTTATTGATTATGTAATAATTTTTTTTGATTTTAACCTAGGATTATCCAGGACATTGTTAGTATTCTTTACTAGGATTATGTACAGTCAGATCTCTCTAAGTGCACGCTCTTGGGACCACACTTTAATGACGTGCATTTATAGAGGTCAAGTATATATTTAGACCAGAATATAGTGCATTTAGAGAGAGGTGCATTTAGAGAGGGCTGACCATAATAATTAATCTATCTATTTAACTATAAGTTCATGTAAATTGTTCCAATCTGAAGCACGTATAATCATCAATCTTTTATTCATTCTCGCATTTCCAACACCATGTTTATTCGTGCTATATTAATTATATACAAAGTAAATTAAGTACAGAAATACAGTATTTAGATTATATATCATTCTTTATACTTTTGTATTAAATTAAATGAAATTAAATAATAAAAATTCATAAATTATTTAAACAGATTAAACACATTTGATACTTACATACTATAATAATATAAACAAAAAATATTCATTAATTTAAATAGCTTATTAAATACTTATTAGTTATGTATTTCTTTTTGATCAGCTAATTATATTGAGATTAAATGGCCAACCTGCGGGTTGATTCACTTACATCCATCCAGGTGATATAATATCCATTTGAGTCTATTCACTATCTGAAATCTTGTTTTTAGTTTATTTATGTATTAATATTATTCATATAAAGGCTTTTTATCTAAATATTAAAATAAATCTTATTGTTAAACTGTTAAGATTTTTCTTTTTAATATTTCATTGTTAAATTTTAAGTATCATACATATGTAAGTAGTTTGTTAACATTATTATTGTTAACAATCATTTTCCAATGCTCTATTTTATCTGGCTCTAAATCTCAGGGCTAACTTTAAAAAAATAATGATAATTGTCATTGGCTTATATGTAGTAGATCAAATGTAGTAAATTTAGATCATTGATAAAGCATTATATATAACTAATATCTTTGGCATAATTATTTATATATTGCATATCAAATTAAAACCAAAATTTAAATACTAGGGTGGAGTAGTAATTAGATCCATCCTGAAATTCAAAATAAGGTTTAAAGAATTTAGTGTTTTTAAAGATTTTTTGTTAATGTTTTTTATTCTAACTAAAACTAAAAAGTTAGTAATAATAAATTTATATCAAATATAAAAGAAAATTACATTGCATTAATAATCTTTTATTAAAATAAATTTAGTCTTCAAGAGTATGAAACTCCTTGAAACATGATCGTTGTTTGTTACAACACAGTGCAATTCCACACCTATTGCACCATATTTGGGATTGAGGTGAATTCTGTAAAAGTGGTTCATTTCTTTTTTTCCACATATATCAACGCCAAACACAAGCATTACTCTTTTCTTTATATTCTGAAAGATGATCATTGTCAACAAATCGGCTTAATAGTAATTTGAAATTTTCAGAAACTTGAACTTTCTTATTTTCAGCTTTTTCTTTAGACAAGTTTTGTTCTTCATGTTGTATTGGAAGATTATTTGTTGTATCTTTAATTAGAGCTCGAATTAATTCTAATCTAAAGATTTTGTGTTCATTACATAAACCTAAATTTTTACTTATAATAAATGAATTTATAAGGGCTGTGTCTAATAATCAAAAAAAAGGAGTATTCACGCTCTACGGACAATTAACTGGGTTGAATAATAGCTGCGAAGTTAATCTGCAATATCAACTCCACCCATGTAAAAGTTATAATCATTTACTGCTTTTGAAATTAGTAAACTCTTGCAAGATGAATTTCCAAATACTATTTTTATTTTTTGGCTATTTATTTTTGTTTTTTTTGGTCGTTTTCGTTTCTTTTCAACTCTACTATCTTCGCCTTTAATTACATAAATTGTAGTAAGCATAGTGACGGGCTTATTATCAATCCATAAAAGTACTAGTAACGGGCTTATTATCAATTCATAAAAGTGCTAGTACATCATTAACTACCACACCTTTTAGAGAATCCCACTCCAAATTTTTTTTTCTTTTAAAATAGTAGAAAAATTTTTTGTATTGGTATGAATGATGCCATATGCACCAAATCTTTTTTCTCGCAAAAAATTAAACAAGTTAATACTTGAAAAATAATTATCTATAAAAACATTAAATGATTTTTGTGACAGGAGTTGTTTCACAAGATGAAATACTTCAGCGCCTATTTGATTAACATTAGAGATTGGATTAATACATGGAGGTTCTATTTGTGATGTGAATATAAAAAAAAAAATATAGCCAGCCTCGCATAGAGATAGAATTCAATAGCCTTTGGGTATAGGCTTGTTTTTAATTTTAATTATATGATCGCTTCTTCCTGAAAATCTTACAAACATCTCATCTACAACAATATTCAAAGTGGAAATATAAAGTTCTTGTAAAGTATTATGAATATGAGAAGCTAGTGGCTCTAATTTTGCAAAAAAATTATTGGTTTCTTGTTTAATGCAATTGAATATATGAAGATATTGCTTAATGTATTAAAAATAAATTAAAATTGTAATAAAATTATATACAGTATACTATTTATAAAAAAACAATTATAAAATACTTATCTGCTGAAATCATAATAAGTTCATAAAATTTGTTATTTTGTGTGAAGAATAAAGTGAATCTTTATTTCAATAATCATAAACAGCTGGTAATTTGAAGATTCCTATATATATTACTAACACAAGCCAGATTTTAAATTCGGAAATAGTTAATGGATCCCATTTACGACCCGAATTTTTGTTATTCATAGTTTGAATACCAGCATAGATATTGGTATTTTATACAATAATTTCCATTAGTTGAATTGAAAAAAATTTTGAAAAAATATAAAATATTGACGGATTATCCGATTTTAAATCATTAAAAAGCAATGAAACAGAGGCTTTATGTGGTGGATATTTATGTTGAAAGGGTATAAATTTAGATGAAAGTGTAGATGTAAATTCATTTTTAATTTCTTTATTTTTTGAATTGTCATATTCAATCTCAATATCTTCATTATCTACATCGTGACTTCGATTGAAAAAACAAATATAAACATCATCGATTTTTGTTTCATTAATAAAATCTATTCTTTTGATTTTAAAATATGAATTCGCAAGCAAATTTGTTCGCAAGGACAATTTTTTTAGTAAGATATATAACTTGCAGGCAAATTTGCCTGCAAAACAATTAGGCAGGGGCATAAATTTCTACATATCAATATGGGCTAATTAGTGAAATCGGATCTTATCAAACTATAATTATTTGATAAAAAACTATCTTCCCAATAATTTATATATATGCCATAATTAATAAAATTTCGATTTTGTTCAGAATGCCTTGAAACCTTTTTTGCTATATACTAATCCATTTGTTTCCTATTGTTATATTTGTTATAGCTCTACTAACGTATATTACAGAAAGATTTCTTTAAATTCATACTATAGAGACTAAACTTCTAAAAACATGCATTTAGAAACAATAAGAAACGGGAGTCAAATACTGTATATACTTGGGCCAGAGAGAGTGCATTTAAAGAGGTCCCTGTACTATTTACTGTTACAACTATGTAAGCCATAAACATATTTTTGGTTCATTTTGTCTTAACGTTAAGCAGCAAATAAATTTTTAGAGAACTATGTAAACATATTATATGTGCGATTACCGTATCTTTATTGGTCAGTGATCAGAGATTTTAAGCATAATTCGAATGTTACTCAACCTGCTATTCACGGGAAATGCATGTCTGAGAAATTATGTAATAGCGATAGTGTTGATCTATTCAATTTTCGGCTAATTAAAAATTTGCTTGAGAACATCTAAATTAATGGGGTGTTCTATATTGGTTTAATTACAAACATACCGGTAATGCAGTCAGGGAATATACCATATTTGGAAATCGGGTTCTAGAATGATCTGCAAAAATATTCGCGCATTTGATTGGTCGTCACATTTCTTTTTTAGGCTTGTATTCGGGTTAGGGGTTTTACAATATTTCATATAT